CATAGACAAAAGATGAAAATAAGTCTGAAAAATACAGTGAATTTTGTATATATATATATATATATATATATATATATATATATATATACTTCATATATCAATGTGTCAATAGACTGGTTTAGATGAAGTAACTGCCCTTTAAACCTGTATAAATTGTATAATCCTCAATTTAATCAATCTGCCAGTGACGTCGTCGTTTTTCCTGTTGGAACAACTCAAGTGTCTGATTTGGAAAAGCCCAGTGTAATGAAATTGATTTTTTTTTCTGTTGTTGTTCAATCTTGTGAATTAATTTTAATCAGCTTTAATGTCAGTGTCCACGCAGCTCCAAATGAGCGCTGATGAATGAGAGCCGGAGCAGGAGGGGAGGAGGGAGGAGAGAGGAGGGAGGAAGGAGGAGGGGAGTGGATGAATCTCCGCCTGTCCTCACTCACAGCCCGCGCGCAAGATCGCCCTCTACCGACCACTCACAGCACACCACGCACGCAGCCGCTGCACTGGTGGAGGAGCCGGACCGCTCAATCCAGGCGTAATTCAGGAACCAGGACCCACTCTCACATTCTCCTCCAAGTGAAGAGCAAGCCTGGTGGGAGACGAGCTCTTCTCACCCCCAGTGCACGCCCAGGGAAGGAGCACAGGGCGATGACTGTAGAGTAGAGGTCCAAAAAAAGTGGGCTTTTAGTTTGGTAGGGCTTTAAGTTGCAGTAAAGAAGAGAAGAGTTTGCAGGTTAACCCCGCTGCTGGGGTTGACGCTACGACGGCGCCGTCGACATGGATAAAGTTATCAGTTGCCTGTTTGCTGTGACGACCTTCCTGCTGTTCACCACGGGAGAAGTTTTTAAAGGTAAGCAGAAAACGACACACACGACAGGCACACGGCTGTGTTTGCTCCCCGGCTGCGGACACGGGGTTCACGGTGAAGGCACTTATTTGAACTCGACCGTTGACTGGCACTTTTGCGCATTTCGCTGCAGCTATTTAACGTGCACTTCCGACTTTAAATGGCAGCGTGGGTGTCGTATAAGTTATGTTGAGTTACAGGCGTGATATGTTCATCTTTTGACACAGACAGCGGTCGCAGCTCCCCCGGGGGGCTGCTGTTCGACTCCGGCAGCAGGTGCGTCATGCTCCGCGCAACTCAATTAGCAGCCGCGCCACGCTGCGTTCACTGCCAGGTCTTCACTGACAGGACCGCGATGTGGACGGAGTTCAGTGCCGGTGTCAAAGTTCATCATTAAAAGTTGCAGTTTATCGTAATGAACCTCGCGTAATGCGTGCGTAAAAGTGCCAACACGGCGCAGGAAGATAAACCAAGTAGCTCCAGGTGTCTGTATTCTTTATTCCCCCAACTGAAAACTTCATTTCAGTCCATGTACCAGTAATTATTATTGTTGCTGCGTAATATTGATATAACACTTGAATTTTTTAGTTGCTGTGTGTAATTCCAGTTTCTATATGTGTGAAAATGTCATTTACGTCATGAAAAAGTTCCCATATTTCAGTTAATCCTTGTAAAATCTGGTAAATTATCTAAACTCTTGGTCTAATTTGATGCGTAATATTTTCAAATAAAATTAAAAAAACGTTTCCACAATTTGTACCGCTGCAGAACAGAGGTTTCCTGTTGATAAAACAGATTTTTAAGTTTATTTATTAACAGCTCAAATATCTATCGTGCTTTTAAAAAGAACTGTTTATGTGACATGAAGTTAGAAAAACTGTTTATGGAACGATTTAAGTCTTAAATTCTTTCTCTCTCGGTTTGACAACAACTTTTTGACAAATACTTTCAGCCTGTTCACATATGAAGAAAATATGAATGCAGTTAATTAATGAATTAACCTCATTAGAACCAAGCACATTAAAGTGCAGACGTATAATGACCTCAGATTACAGAGAGGGATTAAAATTCTGATTTAATCCTAAACGTGTCCTCAGTTTTCTCCTCATGTGTGGCATTATGTGGAGACTGGCACATTAACCTACATTCATGCCAATCAATAGGGACAGAAAATGGATGGCGGTAGAATTTAAGATGGACTTGAAGTGTTAACACTGTGATTCTTAAAAAAAAAACACACAGTAACGTGAGGTGATTTGGATGATTTTGCCATAATCTGGGAAGTCTCACTTGTCATGTTCAGGTTTGGATGCTGTGGGTTTTTAAATGTTGTTTCATAAAGCGCCTGTTGGGGGCAGCATGGTACATACTGTATATAGTGTGATGCTCTGATGATGGATTTGAAGCAGCTATGATTGAAGCCCTGAGTCAGACCAGTCCGTGTCACCAGTCAAATGGACTTTTATTTATTTATTTTTAAAGCATGTTGTTCGAAGCCCGGTCCAGATTACAGATTATTTTAAATAATCTACAGGCAACACAAGTGACTCTGATTTGAATATTTATTTTACGAAAATGTGAAAACTTGTTGAACTCTTACCTGAGGTGTTTATGCTCATTTTTCTTTACTGTTATTGACTTTTTTTTTTGACTGATAATTCTTGAACCTGAAGCCCGTCGTATTCCCAGTCTGTTTAATGCCAACGGCTGCAGTTTTATTTGCCCGCAGCCTCAGAACCACAGGCTACATTTGAGTCGGCTGCATTGCAGACCCCTGATGGCGGGGGGAGAGAAGAATCAATAAATATGCTACTAATTGCATGAGTGTGTGTGTGTGTAAATATGTAAACCAGGAAGAAATCAATTGGATGTGTATCCCACTCTGGGGCGAACTAATGGATGGATGGATGATGGATGGATGGATGGATGCAGATGTACTGGGCTAAATATGAGCCTGTGGTTCAGGACATTTGTCGTAGAGAGCGAGTGCTAACAGCTCGTGTCATAATTAGATCACAGATGTAACCAGAGCAGCAGCAGCAGCAGCAGCAGCAGCAGCAGCAGCGTGAGGATCACACACACACACACCGACGTCTTTTAATTCACTTGTATTAAAAGACAAAACCGAGTCCGTAATCACATTCACACTGTCTCACTTTCACACAGTGAAGTTGTTGTTGGGTGAAGAGTTGACCCTGGATGGTAGAAATGTCTTGTTTTTGGCTCAATGATAAATAATCATTGACATTTTTCCTCCGTTTTCTTTCTTGTTTTACACCTCCCCCTGAGGAGCTTGGCCCCTGCCCCTTTGGAGTACCTCAGTGGGCTCCCTAGGAAACTGCGGACCTCATATTGAACATCTGTGCTCCTAGTTGTCTATGGTCACTTTTGTTTTGTTTTATATAGACTTTAATAATTCCATTCTGTCTCAGAATGTACCTACCAGCACCCCCTAGAGACTGCTGACCCAATGTTGAGCATCTCTTCCTTTAAAAAAAAAAGAAAAAAAATTGAAATTCCCAGGTCATCACACAGTTGACAGACAATGTCAAGGCTGACTGGGTATTGTTTGAATATCATAGTGTTTCACATAAAAAAAACCCCAACAAGAAGTCATTGGTTTGTTGTGATTGGCCGGTTGTCTCAGACCTTCATCCCGTCATTTGATGACTATGTGAAATCAGCTCCACCTACAGCAGCCTGAGTTTCCACCTTGTTCTGTGACAGTGAACCGTGTAGTGTTATGTAGCCGACGGAGTAACAACAACAACCAGCCCTGGTTGTGGTGTGCTGCTGTAGTTTGTTGTTGCAGAGTGACTGCTGCTGACAGAGCCCGGGTCGGCCGATCCTGCAGCAGCGAACCACCACACTGACGGCAGGAGAAGATAAACATGACTTCATTTGAAGTGTGGCAGTAATTTACATTTAGGTTTTCCCTTTGAAATGTTTTTATTTATTTATTTATTTAATTCTTGTCCTCCCAGCTGACGTAGAGTTTATAGAGACTTCTCTAAAAAGGTGTCCTGAAGGGTGACAGTTTCTTTGTGTGAGCCAGTGAAGAATGAAATTAAATATGCATGTGATTTTCTTTTCTTTTATGGATGGCTTCAAATAATGTCGCAGGGGGGAAAAAAAGGCCCACGGTGATTAATGATAATACAAAGGAGAATGTGAGGTGTCTACATTCTTCCCTGACTTTGCTTTTCAGACACTTTTTTTTTTTTCTGTTGGGATGATAATGAAGGCTGCAGGAAGACATGGATTTACCGAACCTCTCCGACGAGTCTGGGCTGCTAGCGGTGCAAAAGTAGTTTTTCACAGGCAGGAGATTGGTGGCTGCAGACGCCTTTGTCCCGTTGATGGTGCTGCGTTCCAATTAAGGATGTTCTATCACTCTGTCTGCTGCCTATCTTAACGGAACGATAAATATTGTTTCTCATTGGTCCGAGGCGATCTACACTCAGGAACCAAACCATTTATATAAACAGACTGTTGGACTGTCAGCCTCCCTGGAGGTGGAGGGACATAAATACACAAACTCTGACCCTCGTGTGAGAAAAACATCAACATTCTACGACTCCAGGTCTTTAGATTTGTCATTATTAATATTATTATTATTGTTACTGTAACTAAACCTATTCCTACTCGTGTTGGATTTTTTGTCCTTTAAAAATAGAAAAAAAAAAGATACAGATTTTGTTGCTTCACCATATTCCGCCCTGTCAACATAATCTCATATATTTATTTCCTTAACTTCAGGTTTTAACAACAGAAACATGCAAGGACACGTCTCTCAGGTGTTGGGTTTTATTTGAACCGGTTTTCAACCGTTGAAAACGAACAACTGTGAAATCAGAGCAAGCATCACATTTTGAAGCTTATCTTCAGATGGAAAACTGTCGGAATTAATGAAGCTTTACAACAGGGTTTGATCTAGAGCCATCCCGAAAACAGAGAGAACTCTGGGAGGACCTCCCTCAGACTTCTACAAAGATGGCGTTCTCTGGTGGAGACACCACTTGGAGAACCAGCTTTGTCATTTTATTTTAATGAAGAGGTTTCATTTTTGTCTGAGAACTTTCTGACCCAATGGTTCTACAGTCTGACTGCTGTTAGTTACTAAATATGTGGACATCCCAAAAAAAAAAAAAAAAAAAAAAAATTCCCAAAGTGAAATATATTTTGAGCTGACAAGTCGACTCTAACCAAGAAGTTCTGGAACAGTCAGCGAATCCAAATAAAACTCTATTTCTGAGGTGTTCCCCGCGAAGGTCAAAGTCTGTCGTCAGTGTTTCGCTGTTAACGATTCACATTGTTTTTTTTCCGATGATTTGTGGCAGGTCTAAGCTAACATTGTTGCCGTCCTCATTAGACCTATTACAGCAGAATATTAGAACCTGTTGGTTTCTGAGTAAAGGGCACGCAGCTTGACACACAGCTGTGTTCTGTGGGGAACGTCAGCATCTGTTCTCTGGAAACTGCAACACAGAGGACGGGAGATCTGTGTGTGTGGAGGGTTAGGGGAAAAATAGGATCGGATCGGAACGCTGATCATATGAATGACAGCTGTGGTTAACAGGTTAACCTTAACAAAATAGGTTGGTTAGTTAGTAGGCTTTAAAATCTATATTCATAATTCCATCATTTGGAAAAAGCAGGTGTGAAACACACATCTACCTGCTGCTGTGTGTCTTTCTGTCCCAGCAATGTACAGATTTATTCTTTTTTTTAATGGTTGAAATGAATCCACAGACAGACCTATTAATCAGCTGTTTGACAGCCCAAATTTTAACATTAACCGTTGAATTTTTCAGAGCCAATTCAACTGCTGTTCCTGAAAGTCTAATTATTGTGTCAAAACTGAAAGTTAATAAAAGTGGTATTAATGTTGAGCTTAAGAAGGTTCACTCCTTATTTGTACACAGAGCAGCACGTGAAACTTGAAATTAAAACAGTGACTTTATAAAGTCTTAATGTCTGTGACTTTTGTAAAAAGAAGAAAT